TTGTGGCAAACAGAGCTAGCGAGGCGGGATTTATAACAGCTTGTCCTTGGTCATCACGATGGAGTTTTATTGCGTCCTCCAGTCTTTGGAGAAAGAAGTGTTTGGTAGCTTTTCTCTCTGAACGGAAGGCAAAGTTAAATAATCGCTCAATTAACCTCTTGACTGAAGTATACGTAGCCGGACATCTTGTGCTTTCATGATTGTCCCTAAGTGTGGCTGAATATGTCGTTTCATAGATAGCACACTTTTCCAATCGCAGTCTTTGCAAAAGCTCTACATTTGCTAGACTTATTTCTGGTCTAAACATTTGATACACCACTGTTCTTACATTGTGTCCATACAATTTCTTTTGTATGAAAGCAAAGGTGTTCTTATGACAATTTCGCCGAACATACAGTCAGTAAATCTAAATCAAACACGAATCAAATTGAGCGGATTGGCTTCTTTATAATCCTAAAACTTTGTCAAACTGGCCCTGTCCTCATCAAGTTAACTCGGCCCGTTGCGACACCAATGGTGAAAGTGCTACGAGAATTGTGACAGTTGAAGTAGTAGCATTTTTTTTTTTTGCGATGACAGCACAAAGGATGGAATGATCACTTTCTGTACCCCCGTGATATGACTCAAGTTGTTAGAGATGAATTCAAGTTTTCCCGTGTAGCTCCTTTGATCCTCTCCCCGCCGGTTAACTCGAACCCCTTGCTAACTCGAATAAGATCCGATTTCCCTCGGATTTGACCCCATTTTCCAGTCATTTACTATCGGCAAACTCGACCTCCCCGCTTAACTCGAATTAATTATTCTTTCCCCTAGCTCAAATTTACCCAGATAACTCGAGCTTAAAGAAAAACGTCGGTCGCTAAACGTCACACTGTCAGAACATAGCTGATTAGTACGTCCCAACCTTCAGTCTGCTAGCTTAAATCCCGATTGATACAGACGTGATAACATTTATGAAAACTAATACATTTAACTAAACTTCCCAAACTCAATGTTCTTATAAAAAAGTTCTTAATTATGAAACGAACAAAATGTGCAAAATTGACTTTTGATAGTGCAAGAATGGTAAAGACATGATTCCTTACTAATCATTAACTGGATAATTGGAAGTCGAACACCAATCCCAACACTAGAACCATTTTTCGTTTCCCCTAGGAGTTCGAGTTAGCGGGGTTCTACCGAATCTCTTAGAGTCCCATGATACAAGAGCAAGCGATCATGTGGCAAACTTTAACTACCATATGATCAACGGTGCGCTAAATCGCCGGAAACTAGAATAAATAAAGTCAGCCTCATAGTGTTTAGCCTTGTTTGAAGAAAGTATTATCAGCTTTTAAATCTGGATATTTAGTTCGCCTGTCTGGAAACTTTGTAACTTCCGGCTAACAAAGTATAAAGGTGGGTAGCGCACTTTTAATTTTTCAAGATGCAAGCTAGTGCTTGCCGTTAATTTGCGGATGGTCATCCGACTTTTATTTATTTATTTTTTTTTTTTTCAAGAAAGCTGCAAACTATCGGCTTGCTGGTGTGATTCGATATGTCAGGCCTAAGGAAATTAATATGACTGATAAAAAAAGAAAAAAAAATCCCAATTCATACAAGACTTTACCATACAGTAACGTGCCCTTTGCTATATTATTGTTTGGAGACTAGGACCGTGCGGTCTGTCTATTTGCTTTTAATTTCGAAGAAATACCAGTGAAGCGGGTAGTGAAACCAGCAACGGGTCATTCTCTCGATTCTCTTTTGATTTTTTAATGCTAATTTGCAAATATAACCGTGCCTGCCCTTTCGACAACTCAGTAAGTGGTGATCTGCCTATTAACCTTTTTATAGCTCAGATACCATAGAAATCTTGAAACTTAAACATTATTTGCCATGAACTAGTCCTTATCAAGATAGAGTGTCACGTATCCGTCGAATCTCTTAACACGGCTTGTGACCGATAACTGATCGAGCCGTCGGTCGTAAGTCGATCACGCATCGATCGGTCTTTCGACTATTATTCGGTTATTGTTTCATTGGGTCGTCAGGTCTTTTAATCGTTCGGGCAGTCAGTCAATTAGGTAACACAGACAATTGACTTTTTAAAAATGAGGGCCTAACAGTAACACATTTCTGCGCACCTGAAGTGCAGCGGCTTACACCGATGCTGTACCCTGCGAATAAGCGGGCTCTTATTCACGCGGCGGGCCGGGAAGGACCAGTAAATGGAATATCTAGCACCAGAAGAGATTTATGCTCCGAAAATTCCTAGAATTCACGCTTTTACGCAAACCTGACTTGCAAAGTTTTTATTTTTTTTGATTTATTGAAGAAATGTAAAATGGTTTCCGTGTTTACATAGCCTGATGTAAGCACGCGGGAGGTTGGGAGAACACGAGATAAACGTAGGAAACCACGACGCGAAGCGGAGTGGTTTCCAGCTTATCGAGTGACTGACTACAGTGCGAATCAAAAGTATTCTTATACTGATCCATAAACTCGAGGTCTGCATGTTTTCCAGTGAGCGAAAAAAATTGAAACGAAAGTGAAAGTTAGATGTCATTTATCGTGATACACGAACAAATTAAGAAATTTAAAAGTTGCAATTTTCTTTTCTTGAGCGTGAAAAAAGAAAAACGAAAAGCAAAAACGAATTTTGTTTATTCACGCAATTAAATCAGATGTTATTAAGGTATATGGATGCTTCATGCCTAGACCTTAAAGAGTCACAGAGGACCGTTGTAATTTGCTCAAACTTGCGTCGATGTAGTGTAACACCTACCGTCCTTTCCCCAGGAAATCCTTGTGAAAATGAATAAATATGTGAGAACAGCCAACCTACGGCAAGAAAGAAAAGATAAGCCTCAAAATGTAAACAAACCAAAAAGCTAACTTATCAATTTGATGTTCAAATAGAATCTCGTGAAAATAAATTGTAGTTGTGACAACAACTGCGAAGGCGCAACCAGCAGTTGCTTGTGTGGGAGGGGGGAGGGGGGAGGGGGTTGAATAGTTGAATGCTTACGTTCCCCTTCCTTGTCACGAAAAAGGCGATTATTCATAATGGTAAAAAACCTGGTGAGTCCGACGCTAATAAACACAACCTATGAGAAAAATCCTTTCCGTCGCCTAAGCCAGACATTTCAGCACATTTCTAAAAGCTGCTTAGCCAAAACAGACTTGGAGGAATTTAAATAAGTGACGACCAGATGAATCCGTTACTTGGACTGAGAAAATGAGTGGAATTGCCAAAAGGAATGAAGATTAATTGATATTAAGTGTCCCTTTCATCCGTCAGCTTCATTGTGAGCTATGCCGTCTTGTAATTAGATTAGTCAGATTATAGAATTTCCAGTTACAGGGTACAATTTTTTATTTTATGTATTTTAGTATCATACGCAAACTAAACAATGTTACGATTTAGTGAGACCTTTGCAGGCTCTGACGACATTAGAGAAGATGAATCCCTCCATTAGTAGAAGAATATAGTCAAATAATTAAAAAGATCATTTGAAGGTTATAGATACCACAGTAAACGGGCCAAAGCACCATTTGATATTCTGCTCTGGGCAAACTCATTTACCAAGCTAAGAATTGGTCTAACATCATTCCATCATATCGTTAGGGCAAACAGCAGTTTTGATAAAAAAGAACTGTCCTCGATACTTAAAAAATATTTTTCAATACATAAAAGTCTCGGAGACAACTCCAATTTTGGGCTTTACTAGAAAAGAAAAAATATTACAATTTCGACCAGCTCGATCAGAAAAAGCAAAAAAAAAAAAAAAAAAAAAAAAAACCAGCAAAACACCAGCACAAGCTGGCATAATAAACAATTTTTTCGTTGAAATACTCAGATCAAATCTCAGAAAAATCTCATAGAAGACATCCAATTTTTTTACTGATAAACAATCTCTACTGGTCTGTCGATTTGACTTTGAATAAAATTAATAGGAAAATGTGCTACGTCTGGACTTAAAAATTGGTTCAAATAGAAATCGAATACATTGCTGGTAACAGGTTAGCAGAGAGAAATATTTTGATAACCCCTCACGGCCCAGTTTTTCTCTATTGTTCCATCATAATATTCTTTGTCTGTGTTATTGAATGTAACCTGGTCATTGAATTTTTACGCGCTCAACGGCTCGCCTAATAATCGGTCATCTGGGCAACAAGTCAAAGTTACTTACTTCATACTCCAGTCTTTGATGATCAGATTTCACATTACCCAGGTCAAGGAAAAGCTAAGCACACCTCTGAATAAAGTTTCTCATGTAAAATGACGAATCTTGCGGGAGAAACATAAACCGAGTCCGTCGCATGAGGGGTATCGATTGCGTGGGTGTATTTTTCATACAAAGTAATGGTCAAAGCATTCAAAACAATAGCATTTGCTTGTGGCAAGGAAAACAAAAAATTCTGATTCTCTCATTAAAAAAGCTTTGTTATGCCAAGAAAGTTTAGTTCCTGGGGGAGAGCTGCACTTTACTTTGCGCTAAAAGAGGGCCGGGTACACTCAAAGACATTTTAGGATGTCTGTGGGAACTACCTTACGCCCTAGTGAGTGGTTGAATCAGGATAAGTTGGTGAAATATTTCAGTAAAGCCAAAAGTAATGATTTGCGCACAGTCCAAGTTTTATGTCTTTAGGTACGTAATCACTCGAAAGTGAGATATTAAAATGTGGTGATCATAATTAACAATTTGAGAATTTTAATTTACAATTAAAGAGGTGGGAGAGATTGCAATTGTAAGATCCTCTAAAAAATGCAAAACCTCGTAAGTTTTGATTTTAATCTCGATTTAAACTGAACATTTTTTTTATCTGGATAGGTAGAAATTTGGGTTAGATATCAGCAGTAATTCCGTTTCAAGTGTTTTAGTGAATGCCCTTTTCCTATTCTCTCTGAAGGACCAAGCTTTGATACCTGATTGGTCAATTTCCTTAAAGAGCCCGCGATTTCCCGCCAAAACCGCACGCGTCAGCCAAGCGTGACGACAAAGGTGAAACCTGGACGAAACTAAAATTTTTTCCCTCTTTGGAAATTTACATTTTCTGATTCAGCATTATGCAAGGACGTTTTTCTGGAAATAGAAACATCAGCACTTGCCAAAGAATGTTAATTTCAGTTTTTGGAGGTCATTAGGGAAATATTAAGTGCCAGCGTTAGTTAAACACTACACAGATCACCTATCGGATGTTTACATCACGGACTAATTTAGTCGTGCATGTCCGTAATGTTGGCCTAGATTGTGATTAATATCGTTCACTTTTTTGATAACAAGGATATTTGCTCACTTTATTACTGAGAACAACTATGGAAGAGGAAGGAGGAAGAGCTGACATGGATTTGACTTCGAAGATTGCCGAGCGTTCAGAACAGGATCTGCTGCCTTTGAAGGAAGACCTAGCGGAATGGCTATCGAGAGTTCTGCAAGAAAAAATTACCGCCGAAAATTTATTAGATTGTTTAGATAACGGTGTCCTGGTTTGTAAACTTGCTCAGATCGTACAGTCAGCTGCTCAAGACTGCATAAAAGCTGGAAAATCAATGAAATCACTTGCCCCGTTCTCTAACAAGTTTCACCAAAACGCTAAAGCGGGCACATTTTTTGCTCGGGACAATGCGGCGCATTTCTTGCAGTGGTGTCGACAGATCGAGATTGAAGATTCAGTTCTCTTTGAATCGGATGGGCTGGTTCTTCAAAAGCAACCAAGAGAAGTGATATTGTGTCTACTAGAAATTGCCAGAGTGGGTGCAAACTATGGAATAGAACCTCCAAAACTTGTCAAGCTAGAAAAAGAAATTGACGATGAGATTGCCGCGGAGGACGAGAAGAAGCCGGAATTAAAACCAATCAGAAAGGAAAAGAAAGTGTCGAAAGCAGCAAGCATTGACGCTGAGGTAAGCAGTCGATATTTTACTTTGAAAATATCACTCAATCGATGGGTGTATAGCTTCATTCCTGACATTGCTATATCAAGGTAATTGCACCTGCAAGTTTTTAAAGTTCACGACTTATTATTGTTTACATCAATTAATTATGAAAGACCACTCGCCGTTTCTCGGCCGACGGCCTACTGTTTACAATTTTGTGTTGTTCATTTCAATGATAAAGCGAGGAAATTGTCATTGAGATGAATATTATTGTCACTCATATGAGGGAATTTATATATACATGCCCACGCGAATTACGTAAAATTGTATTAATGGTTCTTCCGGCTGTTTCAATGCCTGCGTATAAACAATTTCAGTTACTTACGCGACAGAAACCGACGAAGGTTATTGAGCATGCATTTATCATATTAGATCATTTATTGCTGATAAAAGAATGGTATTCTGTAAGGACTAATGCTGTCTACACAGTTATTAAATTTAATAGATCATTCGCACTGAAAAGAATATCAGTCAACTTTTGTTGAGCAAATACAGTTGTTGCTTCACGTATGATCTAGGGATCAGTACATGAAAGCTTTTAGTTTTAGGAAACTGAAAAGTTATCAACTTAAACTTCATTTCTTTATGGCAAAAGAAGAGAGAAAAAAAACTTTAATTATATGCAATTTTCTGTGGTAGCTATGTGTTTTGGTGACCACATTTTACTATACCACATATCCTGTTTTCCCACTGATGTTACTTGGCAAGGCATCAAATACAATAATGACTCATTATTAAATCAACTACAGGCCCTGAAATATATTGGAATATAAACACAACTCCTGTTTTTTCTCAAATAATGTTGGCTTTCAAGCCTCTGTAATGTATGCCCAATGAAATTCAACCAAACTTGACATGATTTTCAATTGCAGTTTAAATGGTTATTTAAGGCTCTGCTGCTGTTTCCATAACTTTTGACTTGAAATTGTATTTTAAGGAGTAGAGAAGGAAATTTAATGATAATAAGTATTTCTTTTAGGATATAGTAACCTTAAATGTTCCAATGAAGAAAATATTGGGTTAGACTTGCTTCTGTTAATTTTTACTATGTGGAGATAAATGATTAAAGAATTGCATTCTGACTTTCATGAAATGCAGGTGTAATGAAGGTTCATATTCATTTGATTCTATGGGGTGTATGCTTTGGTAAAAATGGCTATTTCTCAAATGTGCAACTAACTGCCAACTCCACATTAGTTTGCTTTGACAACTATGGTATATGTATTGGAGACACTTGGCTACTTTGTAATCCTTTTATCCTTGAATTTAAATTTTGACAGTTAATATTGATGTGATTTTATGTTGTAATGTAAGTAGCACTTGATGTAAGTGGAAAAATATTTGTATCTAGAAGAATTCTTCCTAACTCAATCTTCTACTTATTCAATCTTGTTAATCACTCAAACTTATATTAGTTCATTTCCTTTTCAAAACATCATGAAATACTATAATCTCCCTCTCTTCTCTAGTTATCTAGCCATTTGGTTGTTATTGTTTTGTACATTCTTTGAATGGCTGAGTATTATGATTGCATGCATGTGCCAGATTACATGTAAAGTGTTCCTTTGACAGGTTGCAAGACTAGCTGCAAAGTATAATGTGAGAATTGAAAAAATTAAAGAAGGGAGATATGTGGTGGATGGAAAAATCAACATCTTTGTCAGGGTAATGGCATGCTGTGTAATTTGGTACTATATAAAGTGACTGGTAGTGTAAACTAGTCATTTTTGCATGTAATATGTGAAGCTAAGGTCAACTCAAATGTGCTTGTGTGTTGGCCCTAAGAAGCTGGTACTGCTGGAGGTTTTCATGCCAGCAATAATCTGGGCCAAGTTTTTCAAAACTAGGTTAACCATAGGGTTTACTGTAAAATCCGACCTCAGATCTGAAAGCTTTAAAAGAATATTCAGTATTATTGTTTTTGTCTACAATTTGCTGCCTGGATGTTCTAAAAAGAATTGAAGAAAATTATCTGAAAAAAGCCTTTGAAGAGAGTCTAGATTGTTTGTGAATACTAGGAGTGAAACTGGGCAGACACAGTCATGCATGAGCATCAATGCAATCAGTGCTTTATCACTGTAGGGAAAGACTGAGTCTGAAACAATATTTATACATGTAGTTGCCAATTGATAATTGCAATTGGTAAACAGACTTTTATTGCAAAAGATAATATGATCAAAATCTTAGATCTGCACACTGTTTGAATGAATTTTTAATGTAACCTTGTTTTCTTGTGACTTAAGATTTTAAGGAACCATGTTATGGTGAGAGTTGGAGGTGGATGGGACACATTGGAACACTTTATCAGTCGCCATGATCCCAATAAGATAGGAAGAATTTTGACATGTAAGTTACTTTCATTACAGTACAAGATCAGTACTTTGGGTATATATTCTCTCTCTGACTGATTTTGTGGTGACTAGTGTATTCCTGGCTGGTAATTGATTCATGTAAGGCTTACAAATTATTGTGACTTTCTCATCTTTGAATTTTCAGATAAGGGCATAAATAAGGGGCATAGATCTGAGACTGTCAAATGATTCAGACCACTAAGACACCCTTTAGAGTCATAGTTCGTAATACATTTCAGCTGATGACTGCTCAAAACATTCGACAATAAACAGAAAATGTGTCCAACATGGCATAATGGAGAAGAAATTTCACTAAATTGCCATATCATTTTGTCTTCCTAGCAACACCTCAGGCCTGTTCTCACCACCATCATCACAGTCAAATACCTGGAATGCCATGCTCTGCTTCAACATAAAAGCTTTGTATTTGGACCCAGTTAGATCCTTCAATTAAAGAAACTTCTAATATTTTTTAATAATTTTAAAATATGAATTTTAATTTTTATAGTATTATGTGTGTGCTGCATACATTGGATGCCTTTTAAATTTGGTATTTGCCAGTGACCTAAGTATGGCATGAACCTCTTCAAGGTCAATGTGGCACAAACTTTTTCTTTATGTAGAGTCATAAAATGTGCAAGCTGTGCCCAGGCTGTGAATAGGGCAATTTTTTTGTGCATGTGCGCGGTTAAACAAAATTTAAGCAGGAATAAGGTACTAACATGTATGTATGCTATGTTTCATGGGATATGGGTAAACTATATCTCACAAAACTTTGTATTTAGTTGCAAGAAAAGATGTTGATAGCTTGGCAGGTTAACCAAGAGAAGAATAATTTTTTAAAACAAATTGACTTTTCCAAAAGCTTAAAAGGAGTTTTTTCTAAATGAAGACAATTGCTTTTGGGGTTTCATTAGCAAATTTGAATACACAATTGAGAATCAGGAATGACATACTGGTATCATTGGTGATAAGTTAAGATTAAACATTGTGAGCCAGTTATGCTATGGCTGATATTTAAATTACGCAACTCAAGAATTGTAAGTTGCAATTTCAAGAAAATGTGGAGCATGAAAATTTTATGGGATTAGATTTGGCAGATCAGCAATTTTTTGTGCTTTAGGGAACAAAATATTGACAATCCAAGGTGGAATTGAACAAAAATTCAACAGGGATAGATATTATTTGCACTGCTTTTTTTTTTCAAACAGAACTTAAATAGTCACTGTGACGGAAATGTAATATTTTCAACTTCTAGAACATGTTGGGTTGCAGCAGCCTACCCAGAAAGTTAGAGATGTATTTAATACTTATTGTTTTTATTACTAATCAAAACTTCTTTAAACTCTGTGAAATCTTGGAATCTAGATGCCTTAAAGGACTGATAAAACAATGAAATAAAATTCAACATGCTTCCCTCTGCCTTTCCTTACTCCAGAGGAGTTTTCTCTTTTGGTTTTAGCATGAAAATCTTTGTTGAGCTATGCCTAGTGAAAATTTTTGGCAGACATTTGTTTTTTTAGTTGAAGAAAACTTCAAAATCTTTAAAAATAAAAACTCACAAAATTTGCTACATTATGGAGTTTATTGGTGTGAAGATGTTTTTTTTTATTGTAAATTAGTTGCAACGTTTCAGAAAGGTTTAATAAAATTTGCCTCGTTTTGGAAGTGCATAATTATTTTACTTGCGAGAGTTTGTCTTACTCTTGATATTCACTGAAAGAGTTTGTCTTATGCTTGGTTTAAGCAGTTTTTGGACTCTGGTTTATAATCCTTCTCTCAGCAAATATAAGCTAAAGTATGACTGGAAATTCAAGCCTATCATTCTTCTTGAGAAAATAGTGTCCTCGTGTTTTCCACCACAACAGCATTGTTTCAAGCCTCATCCTGTCACTTGCAAATCAACACATTTCTCAAAAAAAAAAACCAAACACATTTTAGCAAGAGGAAACTGACAGACAACTGACTTTGTGTGGATTCTAGTTAAAACAGCTGTAACTTGTAGATCTGAATTTTTTTTCACTGCTAAGCAATAAATTCTTAATCTATGATTAAATTTTGTTAGTACATACAAAAACAGAAGAAAGTGTAAAAGGCACACTCTAATTGGCTACTCAAACTCCAAATATCCAGGCAACACACAGGATTTGCAACAGGAATAAATGAGTTAAAATCATCTTGTACTGTATCAGCTCCCTGTTTTAGTAGATACTAAAAGGAATATCCACTTCAGTGTTGGCAGCTAGCTGTAGATATTTACCTTGCCACTTCCCAGCTTGTTTAAAATCTACCACTAGCCACCTCCACTATGGTAAATGGTGTTAAATATAACTCAATCTGACTTATTCCAAAAGTGTACTCTATTAGAATTCAGATGTACGGTAAGCTTGTTGAATTTCTAGTTTTTGCTTTGACCAGACTGGTGTTTCCCTCAACACTTCTTTTGTCCTCTGACCACTTGATGCCAACTATTCAACAGTAAAGAATACATTAGAGGCTTCTTTATTTGTCAAGTGAAACTAGCTTACAATGTTATTCTAACATGCCTGCAAAATTATTCCTGGCCATGTATATTTTTAAAACTGATCAGAGATAACTAGTAAGTGACATCACTTTTAAACATTTTATGGTTTTTCTACAATGTTAGACCTAATGCATACAACTGTTTGGCACACATGATAAATACTGGATTTTAAATACTTTACCCAACTAATTTTCTAAAAAATTAATAATTTTTCTTCAATAATTCAATTCTCATTTGTGATTTGGATTGAAATTAAGGCAATTCAACCATCACTCACAGAGAAGAAACCAGAACTCATTACAAAGCAAGAATGCACTGATTTGAATTTTAAACTGTTAAGTTTCTTGCAGTTGTTAATAAGTCCTGAGCATCACAGTGAGAAATAAATTAAATTTAAATACCCTTTCTTTGCATAATAATTTGCAACAATCTATACCCATTTTAACTACAATTTTCACATTACCATTTTTTTTACAGCTTAAGTGCCTTTTACTTCTACCTTGCAAGGTAATCAAGACAGTCTATTGGCAAATGGGCAGTCTCAGCCAAAGGGAATGTTGTGTTCATTCAAGTAGGGATGAAAGTGACTAAAAAAAACTTTGATTTAAGCAGTCTGTTGTTTTCTTATACACATTTCTTTACAGCCTCAGCTTTAAAAATACCCACACACAACATGCTATGTAACTTACAAAGCAGAAAGTTATTTTTTCTGGCTGGCAGCTCTCTACTTTGACTACATATACCTACCTATAACTTTTATTATTGCAAAAAATTTCATGTGCACATTGGCTGTCTTTAATGTATGATGGTAAAGATTTGACAATAGGTGCCATACCTTTGTCCAAATAGTGAGAAATGAGTTCAGTAGCTCACCAACAGGCAGAGACAGTGGGTTAACCTGGGTTGAACTCTAGCCATTCTGACAAAATAAAGGGCTCATGCTTGAAATATTAGCCTTGGAAATTCTTTATGGTGGCCAATTGACATTTTTATCTACTTAAGGGATAACACCAGATTATCAGTGGACTTAGACCCAATTTCAAAGAAACCTAGAGCTAGAACCTTCAAGCCTGGCATATGTCATGTTTACCCACTGGCTGATAAATATGGATATCTAATTATACTCTAAATATTTTGTAACTCAGCCTCCTACAACACCTGAGTGAAGTAGTCCAGAAATCAAATTTACTTGTAAGTAAAAATTGTTTCTGATCAGTAGTAACACTGTTACTAGAGATTTAGATATACATAGATATACATTTTTTAAACCAAATTGACTTTTCCAAAAGCTTAAAGCTTACATTAGATATATATTTCCAAAAGAAGACTTTGAATTGAAATTTCTCATGCAAGGGTATCTTGAGGGATTGTCCTGGTCCTAAAGTTATCCAACAGTCCACTGCATAGAAAAGATTGAAATGATCACAGTTAGAAATAATGGATGAGATACAAAAGTGTGCTGTCATGTTTTACTTAAATCATAACATAAAAGTTGCAAATAACAGTTACTTTTCAATCAAAAGTTTGCTAAGCACATGGCATCATCTGTACTTATTTCATAAATTGATTTCTCAAACTGATTAAATTGTCTTCCTCAACAATACATTCATCCAACAAAAGGTAAATACTAAAAATAATGAGATATTGCCGAATGACCCAGCAGACTGTCAATAATTAAGTATGTCAATACATCCCACTGATTTTTTCCTTTTAAGTTTAGGGTAAGCAGTTTTTGTACTCCTTGTAATATTTTAACACTGTTTAAAATACTCCTTAGTGGAAAGAAGAAGCCTTCATGTTATCTGGTTGTTTTGTGTGTAGTTTGAAGCTTTGAGTGGCAGAGTTGTGAAAACAGGTGTTAATGGTTTCTCTAGCCCTATTTCAGCTCTGCTGCTCTAGATTTCCACCCACATATAATACCACTTTGCAGAATACATGTACACAAAGGCTGCTAAGCTACAGGTACTTAGGTCATCAAGTGACTTATACCCAAGAAACTACACACTGACCCTGTTGAATAAGACCACACAAGCCAAACCCACTGAGTAAAACATTATAAATAAATCACTTTTGATACAAAAGGCATCCATCTTATATGTAATTAAAAATATAAAAGATAAACTTGTTCATGCCAAAATGTGCTAACCTTCAATCCCCCATCAGAAGGACCATGCCTCAAAGCCTCCCTCTCAGCATCCTCTCTTCGTTTCTGTTGTCTCTTGAGTCTCTCTGGATCCTTAACTCCGCGACCATCAGCCTAATTAAGAATGAGAAATTTATAAGCCCTATTTTGGTATAGAGGTACCAGTGAATCCCCTTTCATGAAACAAATGGCTAATTTTTATTTAAAAGACAATCCAGGAACAGTAAAAGTGCACCATCACAAGTGCCACCAAAAAAGAAATGTGGCATTAAAGGCAAATAATTTCCTAATAGAGGAGGGATATTATTAGAGGAGACATTTGACCCACTCTACAACGTGTGAACTAAGGATCCAAACCATGACAAATTTCGCATATTAAACAAGAAAAAGCCAATCAAAAATACAGACAAATTTGGTAAAGGTATACTGAGTAAAACTGAGATATCATTACCTGTAAGTAGTAAGCAAGTGCTTTACATGACATGATAAATGACCTGGAAATAAGCCCTTTCTCAGGGGAGGGAGGAAGGAAATGATGGTTTCTTTCAGTCAGCTTTTCAAGAGGAGGGGTCAACAGGGAGGAGGCAGAGAGAAAAGAAGACAGGAGGCAAGAGTCAAAGGTGCAGGAGGCTGGAGAGTATCAAACCAGAGAATTCTGATCAACCCTCCTCCCATTCCTTCAAACACAAACAGCTAGAAAAGCCTAACGCTTAGTGACATGATTAAAGCTTATTCCGTGCAAAGAGAATTACTTCTGCCAGAATTCTTTGAAAAATTATTTAGCCTTACTTGTTGCTGTCGTTTCAACGCAGCCTCCTCTTGCTGTCGTCTTCTAATTTCCTGTATATCAAATACGCAACAATGATGTCTTCCACGGACCCAAAAATACATACAAAAAAATGGCGCTCAAAGAAAAATATTTATTTCCTGTGTTTATCTGCTCAAAAGCCCACATGATTATAGTGAATGTTATTACGATAAACTTAGAATAAGCCAAGCTACAAATCTTTGCAGAATAACGCGTTTTTCACTCACCGGATCCGGGGTTTCAACCTCTGGTTGTGGGCTAAAACAATCGTAACAATTTCCCATTACTGTAAATTGTCTCTACATGTCAAATTTCGATAGTTACTTGTATTAGAAAACCATAACGAAGGAAAGAGAAGACACTGGCGTGAACGCAGACTCCTCCTTCGTGGAGCAGGTGCAAAGTTCATGTAAGATACATAAGGTGTCCTTTTAAAACCTCTCGCTGTAGGAGGGGTTGGTAGCATCATTAAGTCGCTCTCCGCTTGGCTGCTATAACATAACAGTGATGTTTGAAATATCATTTTTTAATTGAGATGGAAATCAGTGATATCAAACCATAGGATTATTTACAATATCAAAGAATTCCTACCCCTATTTACTCCAAGAGTCTCTCCTTCCTTCAGGTTTCAAGTTTACACAAGAGGGAAGGAAAGGAGGGGGGGAGGGGGAAGGGGGGGGGGTTGTAGAGTGCAACTCAAATTAGTGAGGTTCTTTGCCGCTTCCAGTCTGAAAAGCCAAAAATTCTGAAACTAAGGTTCGAAATTCCCGTCCTTTTCCACCCTCTTAAGGTGGGGAAAATGTCTTACATAAATATAAAAAAGTATGAGACTTTCTGAAAACTTAACGTATGCAGTAAACCCTTCTCAAATTTTCCAAGAATACCCTTCTAACACCTTGGTTTTAAAATTTTTCTTTCCACCCTCTACATACCCCTCCCTGACCTCTTCCTCAGCATGTACAGCACATTTGTTAACCACATCAAACCATTGTTGGTTTTGAATAAAGGGGGCTAAGTTTCTAAAGAAACTGTAGTGCTGCGTTGGTGGGAGAGTATAACAAGGTAATTTAGTGTTATCAACCAAGTTAAAAACGTAAATTGGCCACGGTAAAGAGTTTAAGTCTTTATGGTGGAAAATTTACTTTTTCAACTCAGTTGATAACACTAAATTACATAGTCAGTTTTGATCTTTTAACTTTATTTACAGCTTTGAAACCCCAAATAACATAGGGTTAAATGTGGAATTAATTGGTCAGAGGGCTCAGCAGGTCCTTCCTTCAATTTTTTTTACTTTTTCAAGAGGGAACTTAAGGTAAGAGGCACCCATAAAGGTGTTACAAGTTATGTGTGTAGTGTAGTCAAGAAAAAAAGAGAGGCAATTGATAAAATGACAGGAAATCACAAGAATCAATACAATTAAAACGAGAAGTAACCAGATGGTAAAATAGTTTAATCAAAGACGAAAAAAAAAAAGAAAAAGAAACAGAAACACTGCCATAGCAGGATGAGCGCGCATCCTGAAAGGAGACATGAAAACAGAATTTCACCTAGCTCTCCAATCACAGCACTTTACTGAATTAAAAAGTCATGTTGTTATGTGCATCAAGGTGAGATGTAACAAGTCTCATAGTAGTGAGTATTTTCTTTAAATGGAAACACTACTATAAGTTTTAAGAACAAAACAAGTGAAAGAGATCCCTCCATACACACACAATACCTTTAAATTTGAAAAATATTCTTTCTTATTATAATCTATTTTTGCCAAACATTTACTTGCTAATTTGCTAAGCTAAATAAAGCACATACCGATGCAAACTAGAGAAAGGTAAATTATCAAGAAAATGTCTTGAACTCATTCATGTACATGCTGTACTTCTAAGTTATCAATTCCTGTAACCCAGTGATGGATGCAAACAGTTTTGTAACCAAAACCTGTTTTGTAATGTGAAAAACTGGTCAAAATCAAATAATTACCCTGTACAAGGCTCTCATTCAATTAAAACTAGCCAAAAACATGGAATATTGAAAATTGGCACACTTCTGGGAGAGGGTTGTGGAGATCACCTCTGTCTTGTTTGCTACCTGGATTGAACTTCTTCACCAACTGAGAGTCTTGCACAGGCTAATCAACAATAAACATGTGAACAATTTATATGATTTGATCAAACACTATCCCATGCATCTTAAAAACCTGATTGAGATGTTTAAATGTTAGGAATTAAACAAGTCTGTATGGTGCATGAATTTTATTTATAGAATATGTATTAGAATACTTTCAGTTTGTATGCTATTTTTGACTAACTCCTTTTTCAAAACAAGTTCAGTTGGTGTGACTGGGTTCTCATTGACAATGAATTTGAGAAAAAGATTAAACTTATTTTGAGAGTACCATCAACTAAAAATGCAATGAATATTACAATTACACTGTCATTTCAATTTTATTTTATGTATTGCTAAAACGCTAATTTGACTTTCTGAACAGTTTTCTATAACTAAAGAGCTATGTGAATAGTTAAAATAGTTTTTTTTCCTTTCATTTTATTTTCCTCCCTGGGTAACATCTTAATCTAAATTACACCATAAGGCAGTATCAAATTATTTGCTTCTGAAAGAAACAGTTTCCAGAAATCTTCACAATGCTGTTTTATCATTCAACTCAATCTGCCTTTACAATAAAGTTCTTACCACAAGGGAATTTAATAAAGCAATTTTCATTTAAAATTATTCTGAAGTTTGTTTCTTGTAACAGATAATTGCAAGGATTGCAATCCCACAATCATGTAAATCATCAAAAACAGATTTCTTCCAGAGAGTCATCAAATTATGCTTAGTATAGACCATTTTGAGAGAATCTAATTATCGTTCAGGAATTCCCCAACCAAAGGAAAAGAATAAAATGAAATAAATACTCTATCAAAAAGGAAGGATTCTGCCTTTGTGACTTTTCCAATTCTATCATCCTTTGGTAAGATTATTACCAAAGATGATAAATTCCCCTAGTTAATTGCAAAAGCTTGAAACAATCTTCAACTGGACCCACTGTAACGATTCTGAAAAATGAAAGAAAAGAAAAGTTAAAATTTTCATCACTGACTTAACATGTGGTCCTTGTTCTATTTCAAACAAAAGAAAGACAATGCTCTGTTTTACTGATGCAAATGATTAGACTAAGCAGGAAAAAAAATTATTGTGAAAGATTGAGTAGCTTTTTTAATTCCATTAAAATTTTTGACATTTAGTCATCATTACTGTAAACCTATAAAATCATGTTACTTTTCAATTTGTCAAATAAGAAATAAGCACGTGCCATTCCCACCAGCAAGCTTTGTTTCCCAATACTTGAAAATAAACACATCATTCTTGATTCTTATTAATAAAAGCAAAATCTTCATGTTGAACATGAAGTCCTTCACTGACCATGCTTGTTTGGTCAAGATTTCTGAATATTAGCCTCATTCTTTTTGTGTATTTGTTTTAAGAGACCTCAACTTTTCTTGGACCATAAAAACTCAAAAGAAGAGCCATCTTGACCTCACACTTGGTCAGTAATGCATATATATTGAGAACTGATTGCAACATTTACCTGTATTGTTCCTATCATTCCTGAGGCCATACTTGACAACTGTAACAAGAATCAGAATAATGTCACAGCAAACAGAAATACTTATTGTCAGGTAAATCTACAATTAATGTCAAAATTTTTAAAGGACAAGTAACTAATTAATAAGTAATTATTAGGGTACTCTTCTTTTACTTCTATAATGTCTATTGTTAGTATCACTGTCATCATTATTATCATTATTTGGTATCAATTATGTCTGGTATACTCATTTACTCAGCATTCAATATCTATTTATTTGTAGACACTTTCTCCTATCATCTTTCTAATCTCTCAATTACTAATCACTGTTTTAATTTCTTTATTTCGTTATGGGGCTTTTAACATGCTACAGTATCTTAACATCGATAGTATTCCTACCTTTCCAGTCACTCTAGCAACTCCCTCTTTCAGCTGTGAAAGATCTGCTGATGAAAAACTGCCAGAGGCATCTGAGTGAAGAATAAGGAAAAATAAAATGCATACCATGATTAATTTGGACAAAAAAATCAAGAGTATTACCACAAGGAAAGGATAGTATTGAACTGCAACCCTTTCAAGTTAATAGCAAAATGATCTCCAGTATTAAAAATAATAAATATTTACCAGTTCCTGTGATACATACCCTTACGCATGAAAGTAAGTTCTAAATTACATTATTGCATGCTTAAATATAGATATTTCCAGGTTAGTTTTAGCAACTCATGATGACAATAGTCTCAAAGTCTGCCCTTAGTTTTTCAACAAAAGTAAATAATACTCAGTCAATTTGGTAGACTGATTTTGTTGCTAATAGTCATCCCAACAAAATTTCTTACTTGACCGAGAAGGTCTGCTATCATCATCACCAAAGAGGTCTGCACTTGAAAGACTGTTAGATCCTTGAAAACGATCCAGTCGTGACTTGATAGCATATTCTTCCTATAATACCATGAAAACCAAAGACACACACAATAAGCTTTAGAAGTACTCAGTTCTGAGGCTACATTTACATGGTAATTGGTGCTATGTGAATACACCTCATTTACTCCAAGTTCAACTTCTAAGCAATGAACATAGTGTAGAGTGTGTATTTACGGTATGTCTCTAATGACCAACTTGAGCACAAAATTGCCCAATGGTGCACTATGGAAATGACTCTGCCAAAACATTATGGATTTCATCTTACAGATCATTACTTCATCATACCTGGTCATTGCCAAAGAACTGAGTTGATGAAATGCTCTTAGAGTTTCCAAACTTTCTTTGGGCTTCATCTACATATTAAGGATGCGTGTTAGCAATATAATGCTCAGTCAACAATTGACAGCAATGTAAAATAATCAGAATTTTTACCTGTTGATGACACATTCACAGGCTCTGAATCTCTCTTTCTGTTTACCCTGCAAAATATAATAAAAACAGTGCAAACATTTGAGTTTGAGGTTCCAAACTTTAACTAAAATTTGCAAGAGTTCCTCTTATCAAATGTAGTGGCAAAGAATTTCTAAGCCCTGTCTGCATGTAACCCCTCCAACTGGAAGAGCTCCTGTAAGCAACCATCTATTGCTTACACCTCTAAATGAAGCCTGACAATTAGCAGTATGAGAGTGGCTCTTGGAGGGGGCCAGCTCCAATCATAGTCACTTTTCTTTATTCAGAGGGTGTGGCCTTACGAGAGTTTCCTCTGCATAACACTTGAAAATATCAATTATAGAATGTTCCAGTAATGAGGCAAAATGAAGATGAAAATCAAATCAAAATCACAAATAATTACCTTTCTTCACGACTGGAGCGCCTCTCACTGGAGAAAGATGAACCTATTTCATCCCTGATAAGTGCAAGTGACAAATAAAGTATGGTTAAAACCCAATATTGGTAAAAATAACTTTGCAAACTAATCACAGTACTTATGAACAAATAATCACCAGCCCAGGCTATGTATAAAACAACAAATTTCATTCAATAAAATAACCATTTTCATCTACGCTGTAATAATCATGGTCAGTAAAATATCTATTAGTAGAGGAACTTGAAGAGTCTTACTCTCAAAGTCAGAATACCCTGAGCACTGAAAATACATCTACATGTATTTCTGGGACATTCTTGTGTTGAAAACATTTGAGCCAATCCAACTTGAAATACATTTTACTTAAAAAAAGGAGGGAGTAATCACACAGTAGTAACAGGAAGACTATGAATGGTGGGTTGATGTTCATGTGACTGGTTACCATAATAACCATTCTTGGATTACTCAATGTGTGCAAACAACATTTAAAATTTACTAGGATAAAATTAATGTAGCTCTTCCCATCTTCTAATCCAGGCACCCTCTTATAAGAGCTACAATGTAAAAGCATGCTAATCACATTAAACATACCTATCTCGACCTCTGTCCCAAGAGCTTGATCCAAATGGACTATCATACCTAATCCCAAGCAGAAAGTAAACGGTAATGCAGTTAAAGACAGTGAAAAGAACGACCTATTGTTGAGGTCCAGCAGAGTTCATGATTTTTCAGTTGTAAGCTGAGGCAAATAACTCATTACTGAAATAACTTTATTGTTTATAAGAGTTTATGGAAATAACTCTCTAAGAGCTTAAGGAGACAATGTACTGTACCATTTTTCAAAGACAAGCCAAAAAAAAAGGAAATCATGCAGGAGTAGGAAAACTAATAAGAGCTAATCACAGTTAGAAAGTATTATGCATCAGTAGACAACTCTTTGCTGCTCACCCTCTTGATTCTTGACCAACAAAAAGGGGGAAATATGCATTTTGTGATAATAGTGATTAGTACTTGTCACAGACAACACCATGCACAACTTTTGGACTAGTTTAATTAAACTACAAAGGATCTGCAAATAAGATTAGGTAGTGGCACATCCACAAATTAAAAGCTCTTCCACAACTGTTTCAAGGTAGAATTGGAATTCAGAGTAGACTAATTGTGCTTTCTTGCACATACATGTATATTGTAGAGGAAAACTGGTTCAAACCTATGTGAAGGTAACAAGATAAAACTCAACCCAAGATATGGTGATAGTTTAAATAATGTAACCAATACCAGTTAACACTCGTTGGAGGCAAGCAATTTCCAAGTTGTTGATTGACTGAATTGATTATTGATTGTATTACTTACAGTGGAGGCGGTTCAGTGAAACTTGTGCCATCCATTCCATAGCTACATATAGAAGAAGAAAAGTGTCTTAGCTCAGTAAAGAGAAACAATGTGTAACTGCTCAAACCTACATGTATGTATTAATGTACATCAGTCTTTTATTCCAAACTAAATTGATGCATTTTCAACAGTGGATATTAGCTGACTCTTATGATCACCTACAACATATAGTTTTTAACTTACATCTTTTTATTTACCAAACATTACTTATCCTGCATTTGGCTGCAGCACCAATTCATTGTTGCTGGCCGAGTTAACAACTACTATCAGTGTAACAACCCAAATGAAATGAAAGTGTTTCAACTGCTAGTGGGGGGGAATTGGACATTTATCATCTCTGGATATTACCTGTCAAAGAAATCCATATTAGAGTTTGAAGACACTCTGAGTTTGTCAGCAAAAGATGGCTGGGTCTTAGTAGGCTTCACTTGTTCAACAGTTGCCATAGCAGCTGATGCTGAGTGACCTCTACCAGGAGTTGTTGTCCCTTTCCTGCCTCCACTGACACCCATTCCAAGGCGTTCCAGCTGAGCAGCCTTTTTGGGATCAGAGTGACGCAGCTTATCCTCCTCTTTCTTAAAGTTGACTGGGTTGTATGCTAGGTTTGGAGAAATAAGCTCTGCTTCTGCTTCCTTGGCATTCATAAGGGCTGCTTTTTCCTTGTCTTTGTCCAGCTGTTGGGCTTTTGACTCCAGTTCATTAAAGTTTGTTTTCACCTTTGGGAACAAAAATTTTAATCTATATTAAAAGTACAGATGAAAGAAATCTTTTCTTGAGGTTCCAAACCACCACTAAGAGGGTATAACCCAGTAACGCCAATAATCTGATAAATAACTCCATTATTTATCGTAAATCACATACGAGGATTTGGTTTAGCATCAAGTTAACAAACATAAGTGTTAAAGAAACAAACCTTTGTTGCTCCTAACCCGCCCTTCTTTGCTCCAAGCTTTAAGGTAAAGTAAAAAATGTACTTGTCAAAAAATATAGAATACACTTTACATGAACTAATTCATTATAACAAGTAGTACAAAATTGACACTAAGTAAGCTACCATGCAGTGTAAATGTGCATCACTTTGTTTCAAACTGTGATCAAAGAACATCTCTTTACCCTATTAACTGGATTCATTTATAGCCAAGGGAATCTTCAAGTTGGTTTCAGCTTTTATTCAAACAGCAACACATTGTAGTAGCATGAAACTAAAGGATCACTAAAAATGCTCAGACATAATTTTGGTGGTAACTCTTCAATATAAAATTGATGACATGAAAAGGACACCTCACCCCTTTCTTTTTGGCTGTAACTGGCTTCCTCGTTCCTATTGTAGGCACACGGGTTTCTGAAAAGGAAAAGTATATTTACAGACCTGTACATCTTACAGCACTTTGGAGTTTAATGCGTGCTACCCAACCACTGTTGAGATTTCATAAATGTGTGCAATTGAAATCCATGAGTATTCTCAAAGCTTTTGCTTGAGTTATCAAGCTGTTGACTGGTTTTGTTAGAAGAGGATAAGTACATACACATTACACTATATCTGAAGTACATGTAATAAACATCACACAAACCTTGCTGCTTTGGTGGTGAGACACTGAGATCTTCCATGTTCTTGTTTAAATCATTTCCTAGAAAAAGAGATTAAACAAGTTGAAGTAACAGAAGACTCTAGATCAATTAACAGTTTCATCATGTTTGCTAATTACACATTTACCAAGTCAATACACAATTTTCATTTACCAGAGTTGTTTCCATTCTTTCCATTTGTTGGTATCATAACTGTCTGTTGAAAAGATTGACTCTCTACTTCCTTGAAGAAATCTTGTTCTTTACGATCAGGAGAGTTGGGTGACTGGGGTCCATGGTGACTGTCCAAAAGTGCCTGAAGTAGGATGAAAAGGTACATGAAACTTACAAGAATATGTATAGAGTTTAAGCAGACATTAGCACAACATAAAAACCTGTCTCAGAAACATTTAAAAAATACTTTCCCTCACCTGGGTTCCATATTGTTGTAAGGCCTTTGTTGCTAATGTTGCAATTTTTTCCCTGTACATCGCAGCCACACGGCTTTGCAAATGAAAAATAAGAATACAGATGCACTTAAATCAAGGATCTGCCTCATTTCTTTTTAAATACTGCAGATTTGAGTTTGCTGCCCAATATGGTCACCTAAAGGACTAGCAACTTCACTAATAATAATCATGGTCAAAAAAAGTTTCGATAGTCAATAGCTCACAGAGGATGATGAGAAAAATTACTTCTTGTTGCTATGTTGATAAGTTTCAGTGGTTGAGAAAGAGTTAAGTAGACGAGTAGTTCTACAAATCATATTTAATTTACAAAATATCTAAATATGAGTTTAGATTTTCCCCTTGAGAGAAGATCTCAAGCTGTTTCTTTTGACTTTTGAGTAATGCATACTGTGAAAATAATAATTTGTGAGGTTATTGTAAGAAATATCAGAGAGAATTTGTGAGAAGTTCTATTGCATTTGTAATGATGCACGCTGTTTGGATTTTTATCCAATGAGTACAACAAAAGGTAAGAAGCTTCAACTTTTGTTAATAATCAATTGCTGAAAATTTCTTTGTTTCCTTGTTTTGAGACCCTGAACTCATTTCAAGCATTTGGAAACTCAACACAAGCCTCAATCCTCAAAGTTTTTGGGAATTCAGGATTAACGATTGAGTTTCAAGGGACTGCCACCTTACTTTAGAGTTGTAGTGTAATTAACAAAAATTCAACCCAAATTAAATTCATAAAATATTTAAATGTGCACTAAGATTTTTCCTTTAAGAGAATTTCTCCAGATGTTCCTTTGCATTTTGATGTTGACTTTGCATTTGCAATAAGGCTCCCTACAAAGGGAAAAACTGATTTGTTGCTTAGTAATGCACATCTCTTAACAAACAGAAAACTCTTCTTTTATCTTTAAATTACCTTTTGTATTTAGCAGATGTGTCTTCAGTTGAGAGACCGTGTTGTCTGAAGAAGGCATTCTAAGCATAACAAAATTAAACATCTTTAGAAGAAAATTCAAAATCCATATCAAAACTACCTAAAAAAATAGCTTTACCAAGACCTGATTATCTAAATGTGAACAACATGGCAGAGAGCCATGTCCCTCATATGACTGCACTGAAAATATTAAGTCAGGCTTTCTCTCAGACAGGGGTTAACTAAAAACAAAAAGGTCATCTTGCCTTGTTTGTTTAATCACAATTGTAACAAATTTCGATAACACTCCTGAACCACCAAAAACTTTTTAAAAACAATATTACTAAATAGCTAAATACAATCAAGCCTCTCAGAGACAATATCTGCTCTGACTGAAAAAAACTTCATTCATATCTTGTGAAGCAATCTGACACAAAGTGTTGAGAGACTGTTTTGGTTTGGCCATTGATACACATATACAAATGCTGTGGTTCAATATTTTTAACATCATAAACTTTATCTTCAAGTTATTGTTGTGGGTGTTGTCAAAAATTGTCTGTAGATTTCTCCAATTCAAAAGACTTACAAACGCTGCTTTCTTCTTTGAGCACCCATTTAAGTAAAACTGACTAAAGTTAAGACAAAGATTTTAATTCTTGAAGTGTTGCGATGACAAAATAAACTTTATCATCAACATAAGACCTTGTCTGTGTAAGCATTCAACGTTATTTACTATTTTAAACTCTACCCTTCAACAAATAACCCAGTCTATCAAAAACTATTTATAAGCAAAAGCGAAAATTAATATTTAACCCTGTGACTAGTCAACAGGTCGTTTGGAAAACCGATCATGAATAAAATTTGTAAACTGAAAATTTAAAACTGAACTTTTATACAACCGGCTACTAAAAACTTGCTATAACCGTGTTACACTTAACAAATGTAAATCAAGTGAAGTGCTTGTAGAGGAGATTTTATCCCTTATAATCACAACCTCAATCAAAGTAATCGACGCTAATAATCGAACCACACAACACTGTATCACGTAATAATCTGGGGTTGATTTCCCTACTTTTTTTTCGAAAACAGCTGAATCACGCCATGTGAAACTAATATTAAAACCCTGGTTTACCAAAGAAATCCAACCACCAACAAAAAGACGGAAAAACCTTTGAATAACTTAATTAGTCATGTCTAAAAGCAAGTCAGGATCACCCCCTGACACAACTGATCAAGAACCTTCTCCTCCAACTATCTTACCGCTTTTGCGTTTCCGCCAACTTGCATTGCCCTCAGTTGTAGCCATGTCCAGTTTGTGTCCAATTGGGTGGATCTTTGATACACGAAAGACGAGATGAAATAAACATGTAAATCTAATTCATAGCGTGTTACCAAATGAACAAATCATTCGAAAAGGAATTTCGCATGAAAAAAAAGTCGTTTCGAAGATCTCCGTATGACGATCATTCCGCTTTGTTTTCTTAGGAGGATTACTCCCCTATGAAAAGAGAATCTGTTGATAAGTAACGTGATGTATTTTTCTTTACCTAATAAAGGTTAAGTGAACACCAAGTGATCGGTGAACAGCGGAGCAGTCGATACATAGAAATACTCCGTAAGTTACTGATGCCCATGTTGGATTGTTGTGTCCGCAATCAAAGCACGTCTGAAAAGGAAAAGAAACTTTTAGACTCAAGCGAAAAGGAGCTAAACAATAGAATAAAATAACCACAAAGTCAAATCTTAACCTTATTGTCGGGTTGAGATTTCAAACGTTTGAATATCGTGGTGATGTCTTTCGGACCAGCAATTGCATCCGCCATTTTTCTCTTCCGAGAGAAGTTTGGAAACGTCATCACTTAACAATATCACGTGACAAGAATTGTTCTGAGAGAGGAAACTGGGTTTCGATAACGCACTGTAACGAGGCACTTGCAGCCCGCTAAAGTGGCGGGAAATTTAGATTATCCAAAAATATTTTTAATCGTAAAGAAAACGAACATCGATCGGTTATGTTGCCATTTGTGGCTTTTTAAATTGTAGGAACATGCTCTTTCTTCTCTCTGAAGAAAGGTGATGTTAACGAAATGCAGTCACACGCCCACAGTCAGCTGAGGCATCACATTCAGCAGCCTTTATTCAAGCTGACAAACTCACTTTCTCAATCTCAAACTCATTCAACAACAGCCTCGCAATTTGTGAGCCCAACTGTCAACAAATCTCCGTATCATGGACATCAATTAAATATCCGACCTGTGAACTCACCCTCTAACAGCTATTTTCGCCCAAAATCACCAAGACAGAAGGAAAAAGGTAAATTTATCTGCTATAACTTTACTTTTGCGGTGATGCAAATTCTCGTTGGAAAAAAAACAACAACAACAACAACAAAATAAAAAATTAAAATAGCTACATTATTAAAAAATTGGAGTTAAGGCTAATATAATTACTCATAACTAGTGAATTATGTATTACTTGTTAAAGTTCTTTTATTTATGAAGCGTTAGAGCATTAGTGAAATTGAAGTAATTGTTCATAGTGGTAATATTGCAGAGGCAGACAAAGCGGAAAAAGACAGGACGCAATCAGCTGAACGAATTCATTCCCTTCACACCCGTCTCCATCAAGAAGCAGAAAAAATCAGGAAATGGAAAACGTCCACAGAGATAGAAATTAAAGAAAAGGTAATAAAATTCAAGCTGTTCACAACCACGATGTTTCTCAAACCGTGGATATATTACCATTGTGTCAAGTTGTGTATTTCAATACGTAGGAGAAAAAGTTGTTGGAAGCTGTTCAAACCATCGATTCTCAGAGGAAGTCAATTCTTGATTTACAGGTAGCCTTATTTGTTTGTTACTTTATTTTAGTAATTAAGAATGAAATTTTATACCACACAATTTTTTTTTTCATTTTGCAATTTTGCGAGCAAGTGAAGGTAATCGCATGAGGCTGAATAAAATTAAGGATTGATTTCATGCGTGTTTTCAGAAGTTTCAAAAATTGCACGAGTCACAGCAACGAGTGCAATTGTTGCAACTTCTTAAAACACGAATAACATTAATGCTTAATTTTATGAGGAAACAAGCGATTCACTGTTTATGATATTAAGATCAAAATTTTCTCTTATAAAGAAAGATCAACAACGCACGCTGTTGCACATTCTCGTAGGAAGCCATTTAGTGTCCAGTTAGCGTCAGTGAAATGTTAAACGAACTAAGCTGCTGAATGAAATTCTATTTTTCCACAACAACGCCAACATCAGTGACACACTCAGCTCCGCCTCGTGTGCCACTTTTTTGTTCTTACCACATTTTGACGTCATCTGTGATCTATTACTGAACAGACGCACGACAACTTGGAATCTATTTGTTAAATAGCAGGCAAAAAATTTTATGATGTATGCGACTAATAGTCTATTATAGCAACTTCTATTTAAGATGTTTTTTTTTTAACCAGCTGTACTTAAATTTGTTTTTATAGTTTCAAAATGAAAGCCTCAGTTCAAAACTTCAGGAAGAGCTTGCAAATAGGGAGGAGGTGGAACACAAGTAAATCAACACATCATGATAAAGTTTGAATTAAAGATGGTGATAATAATAATGAAAACAATATCATTAGTTTCTGTATAGTTAGTCTACAAGCGGATGAAGACGGGCAGCGGCATACAATGATGCAAACCTGAGTTAAGAGTAAAGAACTAAATGCTGTTGACAATGAATGTTATTCTAAAATCTCAAGATCCAATTTACTGACACGTATGTTAATATATCACAAATGTAAATATAATTTTTTGTTTTAGAATCGTTTCTACCAGAGATTTGTGCAATGTATTAAAAGATCACGCTGCAAAGGTGGAGGAAAATATTCTTAAAGGTAGGTATGTGTCGAGTTTCTGAATTTAGATCTCCAATGAAGGTGAGTGGTTAGAACTATCAACAACATAAACTAAGAGCTATTTTTTGTTTTTTTGACCCATGCAGGAGAAGCTGATCGTGACGAACTCAGATTTGAAGATGAAAAGCGTGTTGAGCAATTTCAGGTGATGCTGAATTCGTAGTTGTTGCTTTTCATAACATCCAGATGCTATAGCAACGAGTTTAGTAGAGGAATCTACGACCAGAGTCACAGAGAACCGCTAGAACTTTTAAGACCTTCAAAAACAGTATAAAGTAAATTAATCTTTGGGGCCTTCCAACCTAACTTTTTAATTATTGTTATACTATTGTTACTTCATATGAGTATCGTTTTTACTTCTTTGCATAACGTGGATTTGTTCTAGATTGTATTTTATGATTCTAACTTTAATTTTTTAAAATTTTTAAATTTTCATTCATATGTTATGATATTTACTTTTAAATTGGATTTTGATTCATGTAGAATGCCTGATAATAATAAACTTGTATTGTATCCTAGTTACAAATGTCCGTATTGAATTCACAGTAACCTAACATGCATTTTTTTGTCAGGAAATGGTCATTAAGTTCCAGGATCTACAAATCGAACACACAGCAAAATTAAATGAAATGAAAACTAAACGTAAGCGTTTGTGTTTGTTTCCAAACCGATGGGTTCTTTCAACGTCTGTTATTGACCTCACCTACACTACGATGTTCTTTCAGTTAATGGGCAGAGACAAGAGCACGAAGACTTCGTCATGGAATATACAGAAAAACTCCAGAAAGCAGAAAATCAGGTATCGGTGTGATGTCACTCATCTGCTCACCTTTTACTTTAAAAACTGAACACACTTTCACTGATTCAGAAACGGAGTTCTTTTGGAAGGCATTTATTTAGGAAACTACATATCATACAATCTACCGTTGCTTCCTTTAATCATTCTTTAAACTTGCGCAGATACTGCTCCTCGAAACTGACAAGAAAACGAAGGAGAACCAAATTTCCACGATGGAGGCAGCTTTAGAGAAGAGCAAAGAGGAATCTACTTCTTTGGAACACGAGCTAGGCAATTTGCTCTGTTAATATAAAAATTATGAAAATAAACTTTACATTAATTTCTAATGAAATGGAAATAGATATGCATTTCCTTTCATTCTTAGAGTGCAATGCCCCCTTCAAACTTCTACTTCTCAGGTTCTTTTCTTTTCTTCTATAGCTCTTTTGCAAGATAAACTGAAGAAATTGGAAAGTATCATCACCTCGCAACAAGTCCAAATTCAAAATACAGAGGACATGTTGTCTTTCAATAAGGTGCGAAAAAGTAAAATGCTGGCTTCTTCATAAAATACCACCTAAAGTTATGGGGAACGGGCGAAGAAGAAAAAATTATTTATTCTTCACCAAATTACTGTGTTAAAACATTTCGCGTTTCATTTTGACTCTGTAACGTTCTGTTTCGGTGTGCACTTCAGCAAGAGTGCAAGAGAATCGAAGAAGAGCGAGAAGCCATCCAATCACAGTTTGAGGGTGTCCAAAAAGAGAACCAAGAATTGAAAGAGAGTAATCTCGAGATGAAAAAGGAGCAACGGAAAATATTGGACGAGCTAGAAATACAACTTTCTTCTCTGATAAAGGAAAAGAAAAAACTGGAAGAGGAGTAAGTATAAATATATGTCGTTAAAATAAAACTGGTATGGCCCAGAGACGAAACTGATACTGGTACCACTATGTGACGTTAATAATTTGCTATTTTATTCTGTCAAACACATAACACTTTTTCTTTCACAATCAAGGCTACAAAATCTTACCAAAACCAACGAAACGACAACAGATGAACTGAAAAATCTACGGGTAAAGTTTGGTAAGTTTATGAGTTGATTGCTTTAAGCAATTTCCTATCGACTCCTTTATATAGGATTGAGGCCTCTAGCGCTGGCTGATAATATTTAATAAGCTTGTCATGGCAGTTGTCGCGCTTTTGATTGCGTTCTTAAGCCTATTTAGATATATTACCTATTTTAGTTAAAGAAAGAGTTAGGGACTTGCTTATCTGCTAACAACCCCAACAGTTTTTCATGATTACTCGACCTTATCGTGAAGAAATGTTTTATTGCGTTGCAGAAGCTCTAACGAGGGAGAAGGAAAAAGCAGATACTTTAAACGATCACATTCTCAAAGAAAAGGTAACTTTGAAAAAACTGTCCTGACCTCAAGAGAAAATATTTTGCCAATATTGTTATGGATCGTTTTTGTCTCCCTATCCAGAATGATCTGATGAAAGCTTGCGCAGACCTGCAGGAGAACTTGTCAAAGGAAGCGGAGAGGGTATCATCGAAAGGAGATTTGTTGCGGCAGTCAAAAGAAGAGCTCGGCGAGCTACAGGTCATAGCTTTTATTTATCGGTTTAATGTATTTTTTAGGGTTTCAATTTATCGAAATCTCTCCTGAACTTTTCTTATCTTCTTCTCGAACCATAGGTTTCTGCTTAAAGTTTTGTTTCTTTATGTACGATCTTCATTTTCTCCTATCATTACTCAATAGTTGTTTGATGTTTAGGAGACCAATTCCTCCTTAATGAATGAACTTGAGCGAGTCAACAAAGTTAAACAGGAATTAGAGGAAAAGATCTGCATATTAACACTTGCCTCCGAAGAGAAGCAGGTAAATGTGGCTGCTGATTTAAACATTACTGTAATATCACCAGCTGAAGTAGGTGACATTCGTTAATAATTTTGACTAATATTATAACCCCTTTGTAGAGGACAATAGGCGATCTGGAGGTGAAATTCTGCAATGCAAATTACAATGTGAAATACCTAACGGAAAAAGCACAAGATCTTCAAACAAAGCTTGAAGATGAGAGGTACCCTCTACATAACAAAAACTAACGGTACATTTATCTAAAATGTAGATTATTGTCTTAATCGGACTCTATCTGATCTTAACCATATATTTAGGGCTGTTTCAGTGTATTGGCTTTCTTGAACTGAATTGATGTCTCTGGTGGTAGCTTTTAAAAAATTATTTTGCTTTCGTTTGTGTTGTTTTAGGAAAGAAAAAGAGCAGCTCCAAATTTGCTTAGAAGACTCCAAGGTATGGTGTCTGTTAAGTCAAGGTTGTTAAGTGAGATCCATTTTATTCGTGTAAGGCCTCGCCAGCATAACGCCGGATAATTTGAAAACGTCACTCGGTTTCTTCCATTCCTTGGAAATCGGATCTTTCCGAAAACGCTCTTCGTAGTAGTTAAATTGAAAACTCGGCTCTGATGAATATTGTTTGTACGCGATTCTTTTAATCTCAATCTTTTAACGTCTGCCGGACTTGAATAAATGGAGACCCACAATATGAGTGATCTAAGGTCAGTCCACAAAAAGCCGGAAAGATAGAGACGGAAGTCGCTGTTTTCAATTCTAAGAATCTCCACTCCATTATAGCGTACTTACTTCAGTTTCAAGTCATATTTTTTCAAATATTTGATAAATCTGTTTGTGTTTTCTCTGCCTTAAATAGGAATCTGAGAGAAAACTTAGAAATGAAATCAGTATTTTCGAAGGAAAAAACTCAGTACTGGACAAGAGCTTAGCGGTATTTGTTTATAAATTCTTTTTTCTGTTTGCTTTGATGTTTAATCATTTTTTTTAAATGAAAAAGAATATATTTTTGTCGCAATTATTATACCAATTCATGTTTAATCAACAGGAAGCAACAAAAACAGGAGAGGAGTCCAATAAACTCATTGAAAAGTTAGATGGAGATTTTCAGAAGCTTCAGTAAGTTATTACAGCTGATTAGGGCCGATTAATTCTTCTCCTCCAGACATGAAGCATCAACTACAGCCAAGAAAGGAGGGATCAAAATAATTTTGACGATAAAAACGTTTTCGAAAAATTGTATTTCTTGCACGAGAATTTAAAATGCGAACCCGAAGCGAAAAACGTTTATGTTTCTGTGCCCTCATTTTCTTTACTGCAGCGTAAAACCTCTAAAAATATTCAATCCAATGAACCTGAAATTTAGCATATTACCTTTCTTGTTTTCTTGAAATCATCAGGAAGAAATACAACAAAATGATGAGTGACGGAAGAGTTCAAGATGAAGAAAGGGCGACAGTTTTAGAGAAAGAAAAAGACAACGTAATTGACCTGGGTTGTGGTCATTTTTATTAGAAATTTCAAATGTGGTTGAAGCTTGTTCATGCCAATTTATCTACTTAGGTGCATTTCAAGACTTATTTTATATTACCAAATTTAAACAGAATCGATATCTAAAAGATGACCTGAAAGAACAGACCAAGAAGTTGGAAATCTTAGAAACAAAGGTAAGCAAGAGTTTATTATGTCTTACTTCGATAGCCACGTTGAAACGTTCAGAATCAATTTCGTTTCGATCATGATTAAATCGATTAATTTTTTAGTGAATTGCAAAGCCAATTCTGGAAATTTCATGAGCATAAATTTGCAATCGTAAGAGTTGGGTCCTCTTCCCTCCCATTTTAAAACACTTGGTAAAACTTCGAGTGAATTGCTTTTGTAGGCAAAAGGTCTCCAGGACCAGCTTACAGCCAAAACTAAACAAACTAAAGAACTGCAGCAAGAAGTAAGTATATATCCAGAGGTTATTTGACAGAACCCTATCACCAAATTAGACTAAGGTTATATGACAGAACTAAATTAGACAATCTGAGTGCTTTTAATGACTGACCATTGATGTTACTGTTTTTTATTGCACAAAGAATAGGACGATGAAAAGCAAGGTTACCTCCCAAACCAAAGCTCTCGAAAAGCTAGAAAATCAGGTAATTTTACGATAACCCGGAATCCTCCTCCAGAACGATAATGTATGTATTCACTGGTATTCATCCTTTTGCTTTAGAAATCAAAGATATCCAGTGAACTTGACGCTTCCAAAGAACAGATTAAAGATTTTTCAGAAAAGGTGAGCATAATTTAAGTTCCATGTTATACAGCTGCGATTTAGATCGTTTACACCTCCCATTTTCAGCTGGCTTCTTGAGTAAAATAATAGGCACGCATGTTGTTAATCTGTTTATTTTACTTAAATTAAATTGTTACAAAGAACGAGGGACCGTACTGAAGTCATCGACAGACAGGTGTTGAGTGGTTTTAGGGGCTTTTTACTACGAAAAATCTTGGTGCTACTTCCAAAACGGATTGTTCAAGTTGTTTTGCCCTCCAATTCGTATTTTCCTTCAGGTGTTCTTATTCTTTATGACGTATTCTTGAAGTTTCTGGAATCGTAGTTCGGTAATTGTTTTAGTTATGTTGGAACTTCTACATGCTCATCCCATTACAAACAGAAAAATAGCAACAAAAGAGCTCTCGAATAAGCAAGTAAAATTAAGCATTTTTCTTTTTTATCGGAGGTTCAAAACTCAGTACAACATGTCAGGTAAAAAATCAAGGCGGATTAAAGAAAATAACGATGAATCTAAAAATGCGTGTTGCTTTTCAGTTGGAGGCTACGAAAAAGGAAATCATCAAGAAGTCTGAAACAGCGGAGTATCTTGAACAACAAGTAAGATTAATAGCATTTCACCAAGGGCCCCCGAATTTTAAACTGATGTATGTTTTCTTCTTAATTAACCAAGTTACTTTGTGAATTTGTAAGGACACTGCCAGGGTGATTCTATTCCCCTAAATCTACTACAGTTTTGAATTGAACATAATTAAACAGGTTCAACAATTCAAGGAGGAAAAAGAAAAAGCAATACAAGATAAAGAAACAGTACAAAAGGAATCTGAAAAGCAAATGAATGAGTTATGCGCAACATTGGAAAAGTACAAGGTAGATTAAAAAAAACAAGACTTACAAGACTAGTCTCTAACGAGAAAACTGTTTGGTTTAATTGAACGCAAAGGAACTCAATAGACATTTCTGACTGGGGTTTTCCTATAATTACCTATGAGAATTTAATCTAGCTAGATACGCTTATACATTTTAATGCTTTATAGTAAGGGAATGTAAATTAAAGTATTATTGTTGTTGTTGTTGCAAGAACATAGCATCCTTTAATCCAGTGTCATGATATCCCACCTGAATAGTGATGGCACGTTAACTAATGGTCGAACGGCCTTAAAGTCATAGAAGTAAATCATAAATTAGCCCAGATATATTTACACTGTGCGTGAGAGAAGGTTTAATTTGAGCATTAACAATGCTGAATTTTTTCGTAAGCCTTTCCTAGTATGTGCATAGTGATAATTTTGTGAAATCCTCCAAGATCAATCACGCTTTCAAAGATAAATTTAATCGTAAGTATAGTTGGGTTTTTTTCCTCAAAAAAGGTAAAAAGTGCAAGTTAATTTTCTTAATCGACAGCTGGAAAACGAAAAAATAGTGGCACAAAAGGAGCGAGAGCTGGACCTCTTGCGTGCTAATGCAGAGAAAGAATCGCAGGAAAAACATGTAAGTACAACGAGGCTGAGCGAACGTTTGTCATTATAACGAGCAGTGGTGAAAAGTAGGTCCCATTAATTCAACAGTTTACTTCTTTTTCTTCTGATTTTTTCTTCCCTGCAGGAGAAACAACTTATAGAAGCCAAGAAACAAATAGAAAAATTAGAGAGAGATATATGTGATCTTAAGGAGAATCAGGTATAACTCTCTCCAAGTAATTCCTCCCACTGGGGCTCGGTAAAATATGTTGTCGTTGTTATTTAGCTACAGTGACCATTTCTGTTCCATAAAAACAACTAAACATACTCACAAAACAAAAAACAAACAAAATAAAAACAGAAAAGGAAATACTGCTTATTTACTGAATTCAATCAATTATTAGCTACAAAACTGACCGACTTTCGAGAAGAATTGGGGATTTTCCTCTTCGTATGTATTGTTTACCTAAGTAAATGCAATGTTTTCCTATCTATATCACTGATTTTCGATGCCTCCAGGAAAAAGACAGGAAAAGATTAGAGTTCGAAAAATCTGAAGCAATCCAAGTTCTGACGAAACAACTAGAAGCAAAGGTAATCCTACGAAATATTCCGAGTGTCATCTTAAAATATGTCTCCATCGCCGCTTTCAAGGTCGTTAATTCTATTTTTACTGCTCTCCTTTTAACTACCTACTGAACTGATACGTTCAGAATGAAGATATTACGCTGCTTCAAGAAAACATTGGCGAAAAATACCACAAAGTAAGAGAATTATTGTTTGGTTTGCAATTTATTCAGCTAGAATCATCTTTGTGTATCTCTCTCCTATGATCAATATGATTATGTGTAAGAAGTAAATTATACGCTGATAGCTCTTGAGTTAGGCTTACATAATTTGATCATTTTAATTTCTCAGACTTCTTTTTAATGTGCTGCTTAACTTTGGGGAATTGATAAACCTTACCCTTTCATCACCATTTTTTTTAAATAAAGAATCACATTAATACTTTTGGTTCGATTTATCGTTTGCCTCAAGTCTACCAGAAGTTCGCGAACCCCATCTGTAGACGGGAAACTCAAGACGCCAAAACTACCAGATCATAACGAGGTGGAAGCGACGCCTCAAGATTCTGCGGTGGTTCCTGAAACTCCAAAGCAGCCTCGTGGAATTCTTAAACTAAACGAAGCCTTTCAGAAAAAGAGGAGGGTAGCTTTCACTACTGCAGGGGAGCAAGAAGAAGGAGACGAGAAATATACTTTTAACCTCACCAAGGTTTTTAAGTGTTATTTTGATTCCAGATATTAGTTTTATTTCATCAATGCACCATCCACACAAGATCTCTGCTTGTTTTTTGAGGACAGGTCGGAAGAACAAGTCCTGGCCAGGAAAAAGCGAACCAGAGGAACAAACTACGATCGAATGTTCGATTTTCTCCAAAGCCATTTAGCTCGAACAGTGAGCCCTTGTCCACAAATTCCCCATATCTGGAAACGCATAAACTCAAACAAATCCCACGAGGAAAGCCAATGGCTCCACAAACACAGAAGAAGGTGATAATAGTTACTTGACTATAGAATTAATTGTTTTGCATGTTTTTTCATTATGACACTCGACGTGGGTAGGTTAAAAAGCTCTGATAAGCCTTAATCGTTTACTTTCTTTCAGTCCTTTCTTAATATGTATTTACATGGTTTTCTCATACTAGATGAAAATCCAAAGTGAGGAATCCGAGGAAATGGCCAAGTTCAAGGAATTGTTTCCAGACATGAAAAGTCCGGATTCCTTGTACGATAAGTCTCCGGTAAGTTGGGAGGGCATAACTAAAATGGTATTGCCAGAATTTCGTAAATAATTTATCTCTGGAAAAATACTAGAGCAAAACATCCCAACATACTGCCCATCGCTTCTTTTTCGAATACTGTATTCATGTTTAAACGTAGTAGTAATCTCTATATTTTAAATACCATGGGGTGTGATATTTCTTTCACCAGATGAAGTCTCGTGGGTTGCACCAAGGAATGAAGCCCCCATTCAAGAGCAAAATAACCAAAATAAAACCACTTGCGCGTAAAAAGAAAGAGAAGCAAGAAAGTATTGCATGGTTTGACTCCGACGCACTATTTGGGTTTGGAATGGATGACGAATAATTGTAGAAGGCCTGAAATTGGCCTGAAGATTTTAAAAACCTTACAATTTTGTTTTACTGAGTTTGTCGTGGTACTCGTTGTGAACTTCGTACCTTGAAATTTCGCTTGGATTACGAATCTTTAGGACCAATGTTGTGAAAATTTTAACAATAAAAACAAGAGCAAATAATCCGATTGCTATCCGAACCATATTGGAAAAAAACGTTTCTTTTCTTCTTTAGGAGATTCATGTATGATTCATGTATAGTCAATTGTGCTGCGATAATGACTTAATCATTCAACCGAAGGGTCGCAATTTCAGAATTTTCATCTCACTCAGCTCTAATTACTCACACCACATCGTAAAAATCGTAAGACTTACTAACAAAACACCACTAACTTTCGAATTCACCATTTACTCCTAGAAAAAACAATAACACTTTCTCAGAAACACTTTCACCAGCTCGTAATACGAGAGAAGCCAGGTAAAACACAAATGAACACTTTGCTTGTCTCTAAATATTTATATAATACACAAAACAAATCGTAAAACCTATGGTTTCTATCACTGCTTGACAAGAGAGATAAATGTGTAATGATATGTCGTGAGTACGCTACAAAGGGTGTTTTTCATTATCTCATTCGTGCTTAAATCAGCTTAGCTACATGACTAAGTCTTCTAATTGAGAAACTTTACGGGGACTACTTAGAATTGTTCACTCAATCGGCGAGAGCTTGAGTATCTGTGCAGCTGAGTTTATGCCATATGCAACAATTGATATTTGCTTCTTGACTTCTTCCTTGGTAACTAATCCTTTTCGAGCACGATAAATGGCGTCCACCACGCCACCATACCAATTGTAGTAAATGGTTGGGCTGTGAACCAAAACGACGTGTCTAAAAAACGCAGAATATTCATTAGCTTCACGTAAAAAAAAAAATAGCAAGTCCGCGGAAACTGAAAAACATTCAGGCTAGATGGTATGGCTGTTGGTACTGTTTGGTTTTGCTCAGGGAAATCAGATAACTGTTAAATAACTTGTAACATCAACTTCTTAGGAAGAAGGAAAAGTAAATTATGGAGACGCTTGATGCTACTAACACGCATGCACGGGAAAATAACTTAAACGTCTGCCTCTTGAAATAACTGTATTTTGTACAATCTTACTTACCTCTGTAATGGGTTGGCCTGGAGAATTTCCTCAAGATTTATGAATGCCCGTTCAACATTAAGCAAGCGTGTGTTGATTTTTCGCACGACTGCAACGCTGAAAAAAACTGAACTTAATAACGAAAAATGACAGAAGCATCGCAACATATTCTCGAGAGCAACAGGAGAGAGCTTGAAAGTCTTTTTCCCATTGGCAACCTCCTTTATGTAAGTTACCTCTTTCTCAGGGACAAATTAAAGATGTGTTCCACAGTCTAACGAAATATATAGTGTATCCAACTGTGCAAGGAATCGTTCAAATGCTACTAAAGTATAATAGTTGAAATACAAGCTTTCTTTCTTTTCTTTGTCTGCCTCTTTCACAAAATCATCAAATTCTCGGGAAGCACTCTGAAAGTTTTCCACAGCTTGGCCAAGAAACTCTACCGGGAATGAATATAGGCATTACACACTATTTTTTCAGGCCAGTTTGTATATTAACACAATATACAACAAAAATAATTACATGTAATCGCTATTGTTGAACATGTATTCTTCCTAACCAGCTCTGATAATTACCTCCCTCCTGCAGTCAGTGTCATTATCGGATCTCAGCGGATCCGTTTTCTTCTGAATCATCAGGAGAGCCTATAGAATCTTGCGAAGAACTATCTTTTCTGCACGTCTGAAAGGAATGCCGAATCCTTTGTGCATATTTTTTACGACGAAATTATATGATAAGGCTAGTTTATGAAAACAAACTATAGGGAACTTTCGACTACCTGGCGATCGATTATTCAACCGGCCATGTTTGATTTAGATTTAGAGTCGACGATGGGAGGAGGGGGCGGAGAAAGGTAAAAAGACTATTCATTGCCCCACCCCCTCCCCTCTTCTTTGATTTTGATCGTCGCTCACCCACTAGGTAAAAAATTTCTTTCTCTCCTCAGCCTTCTGCTGCTGTGAAAATCAAAGATGTAGCTATAATTTTCACAAGGTAATACTGAGCACTCGCCCACCAAAATTACGCCTGCTTTGCAGACTAACGTTGGGCAAGCAATCATATACCTTCTATTATGCTTCGACGTTGTACTAAACGAGAACGGTAACTTACTGAGCTCTTCACTCGCACTGTACTTTTTAAAGTCGTCCTCAAATTTCGTCTTTATTTGTGTATTGTAAATTCTCATATTAACGCCATAATGAGTCAGGTTTGAGAAGCATCCCGGTGATTACCCAGTAACACCAATTCATCTGTGAAGAATTGAAAATTACGTGTGTACCTGTTAGATCTAAGCGGGAAGGCAATTCAACATTTCCAGAACAGACTACTCCATCTCACGCAATTCGGAACAAGAAAAGTCAAAGGCAGTGTTCCTTTTTGGATCATAGACCAAATAGTTTATCAAGAAACAATGAAGGTTTATTTCCACTCGAATCGGTGATACTGGCCTACAAGTGAACAAAACACGGGTCGTGAGCAAACACCCTTCTCAATGTCAAAATTTGAACTCCTTGCCTTGTACGCTTTTCTTTTCATTACCTGCTCGTAAAATCGTAAAAACAAAGCTCAACGGATAAAGGTGTGCGAGTACTGCTTTTTTGATTGATTATGACTCACTTAAGTAGCTCAGACACATACCGGGGTAAGTGGATCCTTTTATTACTCCCATCAAGTTGTAAACATCTGTCACGTAAAGTTCATTGGTACAACTCACTTCGACCTCCCTGGGTGAGTAAAGTTACCAGCAAGTTAGCATTAATCATCCTGTTTTTCTATCAAGTGCCAAATATCAAATAAAATCCGACTTTCCCACTATTTGTAATGTTAGTTTACAGCGTGTTGGTACTGCGGTTCATCGTCGTCAAATAAAATGAAATGGTTAAAAATTGAATGAAGTCAAAGAATAATTAATTGTGTCGCTCACAGCCGAAGAATAAAAAAACACATTTTGAAGCAAATGTTTCATTGCTCGGGGAAATTTATCAATCTTCTGTCAACGCTATTCTTGTAGCAATTAGTAGAACAACACCAATAACGCCTTTAATCTCGTCAGAATAAAAGGCCCTGGAAACATTCGACGGAATTTCACAGTCAAAAATGGACAACATTTCGGAATTTGTGTTCAACTCTCACTACCAAGAATTTTACAGCTAAGCCTGTTTTAGAATTATTCTTCCTAATCTTCAAAATCTTTTCTTCACCTCGGATCATCTTCCGCCATCTGTATTCCATACGAAAACTTCAAACCACCTCGGAAGGAGGAATTTGATGGCACCACATTGCGAGTAAGAGTTCTGGATGACAAAAAAATAAAACATGCTACCTGTGACCTTAAAAATAGAATACGGACATTCCGAAAAAACTCGTACAAACTGACAAATAATTCTAAATATAAAAATTGTTGGAAGGAAAATGTTACCTGGCTAAACGTGCTTACGCTGTTAAATGCAGATTAATAATTGTAGAACTTGCGTGCTTACTCACCTGAGCAGGGGCTCAGCATCTTTATAAGAAATAGGATGCACAGGTATCTGAGGGAGGAGTTTCTTAGCCTCCTCCACGGGCAGGCGGTACATACCCTCTACAATCAGAAAATAGTATCGCTATGTAAAAATTTCAGTTCTGTACTATGTCATTCTGTAAAGACCTCGTCGCTTTTTAAAAACTGGTGTAATCTTACGTTGTCTTCACCGGCGGCTTAAAGTTAGCGATAGAAAACTGGGTCAGTTATCTCCGTCTTTATGACCAATCCGTGTTTTAACAGGTGAAGTATATCAGTCCCAAGCAACAGGGAATCAGAGGTGACAATAGTATAATGACTCTCCAGGCCTTTTCCACGCTCTTTGTCTGTTTTACGGGAGAAACAATTGGAAAAAAGCGGGCGATCGAAAACCGGCGGTTGTCATGGTCCACATAAACGTCATTTTTCGCACGCCGTATTTTTCAATTGTCTCCATTTATTGGAGAGCTTGACACAGGCTACGACCTTCCAGGACTTTCTAAAGGGAGAGAAGATTTCCTCCTCTTTCACAAATCTAAACTCCTTGCGCGTTAACTTCGATATCCTGGTATATGGTACTTGGTGGTCACTCCACCAAGTATCATATCACAGGGAGGCAATAGAAAACTTCTGAAGCTTGCGAAGACGCGATTTAGCAAGTTAAGATTGATTTCAGTTTTGCATGTGACTCTCGAATGGGGTGGCGCAAGTTTTCTACAACAATTAGAGTGAGAAGTGAAAAAAGTAATAATTTTCCAGATCACTCACGAACACGAAATTGAAAACTTATTTATCATTTTTTTAGGTGGACTTTCGTTTATTGATATACTAATCGTGCGTGTGACCAAGAAAGCACGGAATAGCACAAACACTGTAATTGACACTCACCCTGACGGATCCTGATGGTGCATAAGCGTTGAAAGGTGGGACCACATTGCTGTTGTTCTCTGAGGGAACAAGGAATTTTTCTTGAGGAGCTGCCTTGTAGATCAGAGTAGATCCATTGTACAGTGCAGCCGATCCTGCCTTCATATCCTTGGGCCGGGACAACATAATGGTGTAATTCTTCCATATAACATCGATGCCATATTCTTTCCATTTTTTTGCCATGTCCTCCGCCAGTTTAAAGTTCTCTGGGCCTCCAGGAAAGTGTGGCACTTTAGTGAAACGTCTGTATGCAATTCAAGAAAGCGTTTAGAATTACTTTCCAGAACTTAATTAAATACAAATTAATTAAATCACCTGTTTTTTTGTTTTTTTTTTTAAGAATAATTTAAATCAGATCATTAAACGTTAAAATCTATGTATAATGCTTCATCTGAATCAACAGTATTTACATAATCCAGGAAGGCTTTCATGGCATATGCATTGATGCAGACGAAGAGCAAAAAGGTAATGCAGGTCCTCCCAAAATAAGTTTGGTTATAAAACACATTCACACAAAAAATCGCAGTAAAAAACTCGTTGTAACTGGCAGTCATACTCGTTGCATGAATTCCTTTCTCGAAAATTCTAAGCTGACGGTTGAATCGGTTTCAGCAGTAGTCACCCCCATGATCATTATGGTGGGTGTGTTTGTTCGGGAGTGAAAATGTTTATTTCACAAAATAGGATACAAAATCGATATCATGTATTTTCAATAAGTGAATAGAGTTGTTACAACTCGGGAGAGAAATCTACAAAACTGGAAATTCAGAGCGATTCAACCGTTATCTTCGCGAAGCTGAAGGTTGAATGGATTTCCAGATTCAAACTAATGGGAAGAACAAACAAGCAAAGAAAAATACAGTTATTTAAAAAAAGAAGTGCAAAATAATTAACGCTGCCGAAGTGTAATCCTTCCTGCTGGCTTCATCCATACATGTTGAGATTTAACGGTAGGACTAACCAATTGTTATGAGTTAAGTAACCATATCTAAAATCCAGTTTTCATGCTGGTTCTTTTGTCCATAAGCTTATGAAAATTCCATGGTCGCAGTCTTTTTAAAATGAAAACGAAATAACTTACAAGGCCAAACAGTTTTACAGCATTAGCCGGCATTATTAACCCTCAGTTACTCAAGAGACTAACCTGACGTAATTAAAAGATCGAAATGCATCTTACCTCTAGCAACGCATCGGACGAAATATTTTTCCACTCTTATTTTCTGCAGTGTAATTAATCGCGAAGTTGTTTACTAGAGGCTTGCTAAGTTATCGTATGCAAGTAAACTTTAAAAATTCAAGGCTCTCTGCACGTGTCTGCACCTTGTGTGACAAATTTAATTATGTGATCATGTACGCTTTTTAAGATGTAAGCAATTTGCTGGTTTCTCTTAAGTTAGTATTATGACCTCTGGAAGGTGCCTTTTAGGTTGAACGTGACTAGAATGAGTATGTTATTTAAATTAGCTAAAAATTGTTTGTCAACATTAACACAGGCTTAGGATGCACTTGAACTTCTTATAAGGGCATTAGTGCTGCCTTAGGGAAATACCTCTCTATTGAGATGCAATAGCCTGCACTTTAGCCTCTTCTGTCTCGTCTAGGATAACCGCGATTGGGTGAATTTTTGTAGTGAGACCGAAAAAAATTCATCAACAGTTGTTCCAAGTTGATTTGACCCTGGGTTTCAACCGCTAAGCGTCTTACGATTCATGTAGTAGTCACGATATCCTGCATAATTAACCTCCATGGGTAAAAGTTTTTTTATATTATCACCGATAATTTGCAACTTTCATTGCCATTTTCAGTGATGAAAACTGATTGCTGTATGCTGATGCACCGAGCAAAGAAAGCATATTACTTGTGAAACCTCACTCCAGGCGCCGAACTTGACAAAATAAATAAATTCCTAGACATGTAGCCCGGCTACTGCACGTAGTCTCCTAACACTTACTTCAAGTTATTTTTCAGCTCCTCAGTAGAAATCGTGTCGACCGCTCTCTTATGGAACTCTTCCAGCTGTTCTTGGGTAAGGCCCTTTGGAGGGTTACAGCCGTCATTCTTGCCGCCATCATCACAACTCTTCGCGCCTCCACGTCCAATAAAGTAACCAGCCAGTATACCGATCCCAAACAACACAAGAAAAATGAGAATAATCGACGATATAAAACAACATCGTCGCTTTGGTGAACTGTAAACGAACGCTTTTTTCTCTTCCATGGACAACCTCTCGATGCAGTTCCACGATTGTTTAGAAGCGACCGCTGGCAACAATTTTGTAATTATTAATATTCTCACGGACGGGTGCTGTTTAGACAATTGAATGTCGCCTACTTTCAATGCCATTTTTGAATTAAAATATTAATTAGTCATATTACGTCTCTTAGCACCCAACTCCCAGACCAGGCCCAGACAAAATGCAGGATTATTGTGAAGGTAAGGTTTACCTACAGCTAAATTACACATAGGTGTCACTTCCTATCACGTTCACGTTATGCATGAAGTATACTGAAATCTACATGAATAAGGAAAGCTATTTCTGGACTTCAGTCTAGCTATGCTCTCTAATCGGGTGGAAACGGGACCTGGGTTGAGCTTCACGCGCGAGGGAGACGCACGCCCTGGCAACTCAAAATGAGTTTTGATTACAAAATTTTGAGCAAATTTTACACAACAAATCAAAATTAAACCTCTTTGGCTAAACAGTGTGACCGTAATTACAAGTGTCTAAGTTATTTATCAACCCGATAAAGCCCGAGCACTTTTAACTTATTTCGCTTTTGATAAGGACAAGCGCTTGAAACGAGTTATTACTGACACGAAACTCGGCGACAGACATCTAACGAAAGTCCAAGTCCAAACCATTTTATCCTTGTATAGTCAATTGCATTGCGGAAATCAGTGTTACATTCATTCCAGCTAAAGGGTCGCAAACTGGGAGGTTTTTTTTATTGGGCTTTACTTACTTGTAATACATCGTAAAACTTGCAAGATCACTAACCAAATGCACTGTGTCAACTCTAAGGGACAACAACACTTTCTGATGAAACTATAAGTAAAAGGTCATTCAAAACACATATGCCGGGAAACCGTGCTTGGTTCTTGATATCTATATGTATTTGGAAGACTTTTCTTTAAAATTATGGTTTTTGTTACTACTTGACTGACAATGGAGATATACGTATAGTATCTCACGGGTATACTTAAAGGAATACATATCCTCACTCTTGCTGACATATACAAAACAGCTTAGCTATACGACACTGTTTCGTCACTGAGAAACTTTACAAGGAGTTTTGTAAAGCGTTCACTCAATCGGCGAGAGCTTGAGTATTTGTGCAGCTGAGTTTATGCCATATGCAACAATTGATATTTGCTTCTTGACTTCTTCCTTGGTAACTAATCCTTTTCGAGCACGATAAATGGCGTCCACCACGCCACCGTACCAACTGTAGTAAATGGTTGGGCTGTGAACCAAAACGACGTGTCTAAAAAACGTAGAATATTCATTAGCTTCAAGTAAGAAACTAGAAAGCATTCACGCTAAATGGTAAGTCTGTTGGTACTGTTTGGTTTTGCTCAGTGAAGAGGCAAAATCAAAGAACTTTTAATAAATTGTGATATCCACTTTAAGAGAGAGAGAAAAAATATATGGAAACGCTCAATGATATAAATAATGCTACCACACATTTTGGGGAAAATAAATAAAACAATCTTACTTACCTCTGCAATGGGTTGGCCTGCAGAATTCCCTCAAGATTTATGAATGCCCGTTCAACATTAAGCAATCGTGTGTTGATTTTTCGCACGACTGCAACGCTGAAAAAAAAGCAACGAAAAAAAGACAAATTAATGAACTTGTAGTCGGTAACTCACAGAAGCATGTCGCAGCATATTCTCGTGAACGACACTGCTTATCTCCTATATGCAAGGTATCTCTTTTCCCAACGCAAATTTAAGATGTGTTCCACGGTATATAAGTCTAACGAAATAGTGCAAGAAAATGTTCCAATGGTACTCAAGCATAGGGGTTAAAAGAAAGGCTTTCTCACTTTTCTTTGTCTGCTCCTTTCACAAAGTCGTCAAATTCTCGGGAAGCACTCAGAAAGTTTTCCACAGCTTCGTCAAGAAACTCTGCCAATAATGAGTATACTCATTACACATATTGGTTATATCAGTCAGCCGAGCATTCATAATACCACAATATACAAAAAAATAAAATAAAATACATCGTTGGAAGGCTAATCTTTCCAACCATCTCTAAAATGATGATCATCTCTATCTTCCCATCGATGTCACTATCGAATTTTGTTTTCTTCTGAATCATCAGGAGAGCCGGCTTTAAGAGTCTTGCAAAGAGCTGTCTTTTCTGCACGTCCGGAGAATGCCAAAATCCTTTCAAAGAAGAATTTCTTCAAAAAACAGCGCACATCTTTTTTGAAGAATGCATACAATGAGCTGATTCTACAAAATAACAAACTGGAGGGAACTTAGAAAACACGATCATGTTTTTTCTCTAATCTTACGTCGACGTTATTATTAATGAAAACGGTAACTTACTCAGATCTTCTCTTGCATTGTACTTTTTAAAGTCTTCCTCAAACTTCTTCTTTATGTTTGAATTGTAAATTTTCATATTAACGCCATAATGAGTCACGTTAAATGGAAGTATCACAGAGTCAGCCAGCACCATAGTAATCTCAGTCCAAACCCTTGTAGTCACTTGATGGTATTTAAACTCGGGGTCAATCAAAGTTGACATCCACCAAAAATTATCGTGAACTGTGTGGTATAAAGGATTGCTGCTAGTTTTCTGTAAGAAGAAAAACGATGATAGCTATGTAAGTAAAAAAACATAGCTACGGGTATGTTAGATCAACAGTTGCTCTCAATATAAGTCAAGAAGATTCTAAGGCCTGTTACAAAACCCGTATAAAGTACAACTGATAAGTAATGAACATCCTCATCGGTCAAGAACCTATCGTTAGTTGCACCGGTAGACCCCATAGAAAATTGAAGTTTATTTCATCAACGTAATAGATTGTGGCCGGTTTTCTGGCTCGTGATTTATAATATTTTCTCGTGTTCTTCTAAAATCCCTCGTGGGTTTTTTACGCCGGTAAACTGTTAAGTGTGGTCTAATGCTTGATTTTAGCACGGTAAAGGTACCGCAGGTATTTCAAATACAGCTAGCTATGTTACCTTGTCACTTCCCCCTCACCTGAGAGGTGCGGCGAATGAGTCTGAGTCATAGAAAAAGCGTTACGAATGGCATGAGTTACCATACCATTTGCCTCATTCAAAAATGACTTTAGGGCACAATAGAGGTCAAGCGTTCAATTGATATGAGCCTTATCAGTACTCTCAAGCACAAGGCCGATATATCACATCAGCGAAACTTGCCGTCCAATCCAAGCCTCAAACAAATGACTTACTACTTACGCTGTTGTATGTGTAACGAATATCCACAATGGGAATTCCAAGCCTTTGGATAAAATTGACATAATCACTGCCTGCTCTTGGTTGCTGAAGTCTAAAAAAAATTAATGAAAAGAATAATAAGTAAGTATTAACAAATAATAGGTAACTATCTAGAGTGCTCAGATTACTTGGACATATTTACAACAATGTTGTTGTTTTTTTTTGGTTGTTCACTTTTCCGTCTGTATTTCCTTCTTACGAAATGTACTAGAAAAAATTAACTAAATTATCGAGTGATGACGTACCTTGGCAAATAATTTAGCCCCAACGTGTTTGGAATTTTCCTGATCCATTCATCAAAAGCCGTTTCGTTTCCTAAGGGGCTTGGTACCTGAAGAAGTGAGAGCGGTCGTTTAGCTCGGTAACCTATCCGATGTGTTACCTTTTCTATAATATACACCCCGGAAAAGTTTTGAAGAATTTTAAATTAGAAGTACGATGTAAATTGAATTGTGAGCAACAGACTAAACCTTCACGTCTGCCTGATGCCTTCTGCACTCTTGGCAAGTAAAGTAACATGAACAACTAGAAGTCGACATAACATTCAGGTCCCTCATCCCACTTCTGCTTAACACTCTTATCCCGTATCATAGAATAGTTAGATACCAAAATGACATCAAAACAGTATACCCGGCTAGTCTTTCTTTGTTCCAATTTCGTTCCTAGTGCGATTTACGACAAGCATGGTTTGAGCAGCTAAATTTATTTATGTTTGGCACTAACCTTCATTGCTCCTCTGGCCAGAACCCAGTCCATGAGAGGCGCGGACTTTGCTCGGAAAGAATAGTTCCCTTAAGAGATATAGTGATAGTCATCAACCAAAAGACACTAAACGACCACCAATTTGGATATGTTAAATCACAAGTTAAATCATTTGTATTCAAATTATATTGATTTTATATTGATTATCCCTATATGGTCTTACCGTCAACTGACATGTCCACATTGAGATACGCCACGGCTCGGGCAGACAATAACCTCGAATGCTCCTTTAACAAAACAAAAATATAATTTTTTTCACGCGACTGGTTACTTTTTGAGAGTTTTGTGAAACCACAGCAACGTGCATCCCTTTCTTTAACCCTTTAAATCCCGTGAGTGACCAAGACAGAATTTCTCCTTACAATATCAAGACAATATAAGGCAGACAAGTGATGAGAATAAAGAAAAAAATCAATTAGGGGATTATTAGTTGATCTAATACCAAATTCTCTAAACTAACTTCACAAGAACTGTATGGTAGACAGTAAGGAGAATTACTAATGAGATCTTGGGAGTTAAAGGGCCAGGTCAATTGAAAAAGGAACCCACAGGAGGTAAATTATTTTTTAAGCCGAATGAATTTTAGAAGCCTCCTCTGAATAATCCGAAAGTTATAGAAAAGTTGTTTGGTATCGAAATGACCCCGTGATTACATTATGTTTTCACTCCTTCGCCATTTGACAGGTCTAAAAATTAAGGCCACTCTCGACCAATGAGATTCAAGCTAAAACCGATGAAGATCTGATTGGCTGAACTGTTTCGCGCTTGGGGTCAGTTTTCATTTTGAGTTATCATTGTCTCCTTGTGATACTCTGTTCGACTGACCGCTGTCATTACTACGCTTTTGGTTACACCACCCTCAGTTTAGAGTTTAGACCCATTCAATATCAACTTGATGGCTCGCGTTTCCCGGGATTTGTACTATGGCCTCTATGGGCTAGGAGCACTCCATATTTCTAAACCGTCTACCAGTGGATATATCAATGTACCTCCAGCCACTCAACAGATCCCATATACTGCGGTTCCTCAGCTCCCCAGCTTAACAACACTATAG